GGGCGGGTGCTATGATTTCGGACTGCAGCTGAGGAGGTAATTCAGGCTGGAAAGCAGAAGGTTAACAAGCTGCCCTCTTCCTAGCAGGGGGGCTTAGTTCCACCTAGGCTTGGAACTCTCAAAATTGATCCCAGCTATTTGGCTTTAGAGGTGATGATGCTGATCTGAGATTTCTTCCCTTACAGCAATTCATTCAATTGAATCTAGGTTGCAGATGAATAGATACCTGTTATCCTGCAGGGCTCTCAGCCACATCCCACTCTAGCAGGACACAAGCCTCGCTTTCCCCAGCATGTTGCATGATTTCTCTGTGTTTCTGTCTCAGATGCATCTTTTAGCCATGAATGTAAGAGAACAGAGTAGCTCATACCTTCTGCTTGTGCGGAGAAGTAAATCGTCGTGTTCCAGTATGTCCTGGCCTGTTCCCTTTCCAGCTTTGCTGGACCTTTTTGGATAAGCAAAGGTTACAGAATGAATCTCACAGTCAAAAAAAAGGTATTATTGCATTCAAAAGTAACCTTTTCCACAGGCTGAGCTGCAGCACGGGCCTCAGTTTCACACTGCCATGCTCTGGAGGACTTTCCTAGAGACACTGTGGGGACAGCATTCATTGCCAGCGCATACCTGGGCTTTTCCCAACTGTCCCTTCAAACCATGGGATGCAATGCCCCGGACAGGATGAGATGCTCCGTCTGTCACCAGGTGACAGGCTCAGCAGTGGTGACAGGCTGACAAGGAGAATATGTCACAGCAGTAACTAAGACTTCAAACAACCACTGAAGCAGACCTGAAGCCGAAGAAAGGATGAAAAGCATACGCACGTGCTGGTAAGCCCGAGCACACTGTACCCAGTGGCACTGGGTGCATTCAGATCTTGTGAGAGGTGCTGAACAGGCAGCTTCAACGCCTTTTCCTTGCAGGGACAGCAGCAAGTCAGGGTTGGTGTTTTCCATTGGGAAGTGCTGTCTCTTCTGGGCAGGCTGGTACCTTGGTGGCCAAGGGGGCCAGCCCAGAGGACTGTCCTGCTGGGCACCGTGGCCTGTTGAGGCACCAGAGTGAGAACAATGCCAGGGTTCACACAGACATCTTTATTTTCACATTTCTGCATGTATGCAAGGGAATGTTCTTTCTCCTGGGATGGGATGGCAGACATTCCCTACAGAACGGAGCTCAGCAAATGTTATATATATATATAGTGTTCTTCTGCATTTCTCCATGTGTCAGAATGGATGTTTACAACAAAGCAGTTCTAAAGGGACACTGTGAGGTTTTACTTTTTTCTCTCTAGTATAAAACAGGGTTTGCATTTTTCTTCAATTCAATCGCCTGCTCTCCTGGTTATACCTAACCATAAATGCTGAAAAGCTTGTAAGCTTTCAATATTTATTACTCCAAGATACTATCAGTGATGCAGGTAGAACGTTTCTGAACTCTTGTTTCCACCAGGGCCAGACTACCAGGTGTATATCAGTGCACCAAACAGAAGAGCACCTCTGAACCAGTGACACAAATAAATCATTAGTGTGTAAATGTTATACTCACAGCACGGTTCAGCAGTTTAAGAGCCTCTGTGAAGACAGATACGGGTTTATAAGAGACCTGCTTTTAGGTTTCACTGTAGATTTTAAACCTGACAGTGTCCCTTCAGAAAAAAGTACATAACTGGGCTCAAGAAAGGACACCCTCCTACAGGCATTTTCTTTTTATTATTAAAAACCAACGGTTTAAAAACCATTCAACAGAATTTAATACAAATTGCCATTGGAGAATAGCATTTGTAAGAGTGAAGCTATACATTGCTGCTCCGTTAACATGGCTTTAGTTATCACAATAATATATTTGCACATTGTCTTAGGTCTTCCATGGCAGCTCCACGAAGAAGAGGTTCTTACACTGCTGTTATCATCTTATCAGAGCTCACACATGGACACAAAGATGTTTGTTCTCAACATGTGTTGCAGTCAGGCAGTGCCAAAGTTCTGCCCATCATGCTTGAACCTCAGGATTTCAGTACCCCAGGTTTATAGTTTGACTTGTGATTACTCACAATATTGCAATGTATTCCAAGTAACAGGAAAACAAACATCAACAGTAACAGGCATGATACGTTTCTTTTTGCATTATTAACCACATCCCTAGTTTTCAACAGATTGTTGCCTAAAACGTGTGTTAGAAAGGCTCTTTTTTTGTAACTAATGAAACTGTCAGACTAATGACTCAGACATTATTTAAACATTCACAGCTTTAAGGACATTTGCACAGCTGATAACACTGACACACAGTCTAACTGTAACTTAGAAGCCAGCATAGTAACTACCTTCCACACGCTGGCAGTAGGTTGTATGATGGCGTGAGATTAGAACAGCATACTATGTTTTATTCAGAAAGCCATCGTAGTATTTGCCATAAATATTGCAAGCCCCATTTAGGAGCGATGGGAGGCTTTGCAAGTTTACAAAGTAACGTTACAGAAAACATAAAAAACAAACCCCAAAACATTTCCGTGCAGAGAACAGCTCTCTCACAGTCACTGGATCTCTGTCAGCTGCTGGCTGGAGCACAGATGCTATAGACGCGTGTGCGGTGCCTGGAAAACCTGGAGGCCTGCTCTGCACTAGTGCATACCAGCTTCTGGCCAGTATCAGTGGGATCAGAGCCACACACAGGATAATGAACAGTGTCACAAAGGCAGCGACTCTGCCACAGGCAGAATTTACAGTCAGAGCTCTGTGAAAATGAAACTACCGTGTGTCACTTCGCAAACCCTCCTATCTCAGCTACAATGGACTTGGGAGGTAGCAACAACAGGCTGAACGTCAGGAATGTACAGGTGGGGTCTGGAGTCCTGTGAGACCAAAACCAAACTTAGTTACGCCTCAGGGACACAACCAGTACCAGTGTGACCCTCTCTGCCCAATGCACCCCTGTTGTTACTGGGAGTAACACAGCGGAGCTGAAAAGGAGATGCCAAAACTGCAGGGTCACTGCTGGCAGCCTGATGTCAGCAACGCACTTGAGCACGCGCTGAGAGGAACGTGCACGTGTTTGAAGTGTGTTTATAAACTGGAGCCACACTCAACAAAACGCATGTTTTACAGCCCCTATGACACAGGCACCCCTGCACCACCCAAATAGCACTTCTGCTAGCGGAGACACAGAAAAACAGAGCTGAGGCCAAATTCATTGCAGCAAGTTAGCTCTGGGGACCTTCGTAGCATGCAACTAATAACGTTTGCTCTTGAAAAGACACACTGACAACTTTCCAGGCTGTATGTGCCGTCTCCTGACAAACATGGAACAACTGTGTACCTTTACTTTTAGCGCTTCCCCTCAGCTGAAGTCAGCTGCTTAGCCTGCGAACGTACAGATGCTCTTTAGGTGTGGGGGTAAAAGTCATTGTTTTAAATTCTGTCATTTGCTAAAGCGATTGCAAGAAGAACCAAGAAGGAACATTGTGCATTACTTCAGCTACAACTGATGTCTTGGTCAAGTGCCTACTGAATAAAAACTACATAGACATTACAGGACGACTGAAGAGCAAAGCTGCTCTCACAGCATTGCACGGATTCTGCATGTTACTGGAGTTGCTCTGCTCTGTATCATTGCTAGGGAAGAATTAAAGTTATTTGTGTGAAAGGCAAAAAGTAGGGTAGGCCAGGGTGTCATTCCTGTGTCCGTGTAACTTCACAGACCTGAATAGCACTTTTGACAAGTGGGCATCTTAAAGAGCTAAAAGTTAAGACTACGTAGAAGCGTATGGAGAAGCACAGTAAGAGGGGAAAATATCCTATCCTGGGGATCAGCCTAACGTTACACTAGTACTGATCAGACCTACTCCTATGATCAGGAATACTTCAACAGATTACATTTTTATAAAAGATAGGGCTAAATGAGGCATTCTCTATATTTTGTATTATAAAAAGCTTCCATTTCCATAATTTTTAAAATATATCTTCACTGCTAATCATATATTTGCAATATAGTATCTGATATAATAAAAATATATGCTTACTGGATGGGAGCGATGTAGCACTACTGCAGGGACCCTCCTTTGTGCTTTTGAGCAGCTGGAAAAGTCGGCTGTTCCCCTCCTTCCCTTGGTTTCTGAGCCATAAATCTGGGTACAGCAGCAGCAGCATGCTGGTGTGTCAGCTTTAAGAGTCTTCTGCAAAGCAGGCTCTGACATGTTCCTCAGCTGTCAAATAATCTACTGGGCAAAATCCAACCACATGATTCTTGCTGTTTACTACTTAGAAAACCCAGCTCCCCAATCCAACGCTTATCTGGCATTAGAAAGTGAAAGGGACCTGTGCAATTCATGCAATTGCCTTGTAGGATAAAAGATTCTTCTACAGAAGATGTTAAACTACCCAACAGGGCATACGGGCCTGGCAGTGGATTCTGAGACTAACAGCAATTACGTTGATCCCAATTAAACTTAGAGAGCACTTGATGTGGAAACACAGCTGAATTATCTGGGCCCCTTCCTGCACTAAGAAAAATAAATCCGTAAAGTAGGCAATGCTATACTGTAACATCCAATGGAAAAATACATTCAAATGATGAACCTAGGAAGTGTGTGCCAAACTACACCAAAAGGACCATAGAACATGACCATGGCGCTGCTGAGATGCACTCTAGAGAATCACTTTTTGTTCCACTGCGTGCTGGACTGCAGAAGGTGGCCGGTACCAGTGCAGGTATTCATCTCCCTGTACCAGCCCTTATAAACTTGCCTGGTCTTGCAAGAACTTCCCATCATTGAACAGAATTTGTTCTGTAGTTTGATATTTATATGTGCAACACATGCTTATTTTTTTCTGGCCCACCCTGATGAAGATGATGATTCTCTGGTTAAATGTGGTCAGAAAAATCTCCATGGAATAGCATGTGGCACCAGTGCATGTGAGAGGAGAAGCAGGATCTCTGCAGAAATGGGGATATTGGCCACATGGGCTCTCTGCTTAATGTCCTAGGTACATACATTGTTCTTTTTTCTCTACAGACTGCCTTGGTAAATTTTACTTTTGTCAAAGCAGATTAATGGCAAGGCATCCATAAAACAATTTGCCCTATGGTAGTACAGACTGAGATTTTCGCTTGCAATAGATTGCTGGGTAAGCTATTGGCATGTGCTATCATAGGTGATCAAGCTTGCTAGATTAAAAGCAGGACTTGTGCCTAGCAAACAACACTGTGGATTACTCATTGAACTTCGAGCAGCAGTTCTCTCTTGTCAGGGTTTATTAAAATATTCACATGCTTCCAAAATGAAACAAAGGTCCACCGGTGTCTCCTGGGGAGAAGAGGTGGGATCGGTTGCATTCAGTTCCCATTTGGTTGGACATGTCATACAAAATCCTCACACACTGAACATGGCTCAACTGTAAAAAGCTTTCACCCGCAGGGAGATCTCTGTTACACAGAAAGTCTGTGACTCCTCCAGCGCTCAGCCGGCAGCCTTACATCACGTTCTCGAAGAGCTGTAAGGACCGCATGATATTGTCATCCTGAAAACAACGAGAACACACTTTTACAAAGGCAGCATGGACAAAAGTGACTTGTAACTTTGCATGACACGGGGGAGCTCTGCAGGTGCAACTGCAGGCAACAGCCTTGCTTTCATAATGCTTTCCATCCTCGATGCGCTGGAATTGATGCAGTGATCAGGTCCTGATTCAGCAAAACAGCTGTTTCTGACACCTTGGTCAGTTTGAAGCACGCAAACACAGGATCTTCTCAGACGCTTGATGAAGAAAAGCAGAACTCGCACTGAGCTTGTGACTGTACTGAGCACTCCAGTGCCCAGCTGCATTTCATGGACCCTGGATTTACAAATATGTACATAGCCAATAGGCTTCAGCAACCCAAACAGAACTGCAGGTTTGAGCTGATCAGCAGGCTGCCTTGCAGGACCACTTCATTCCAGAAATACAACCAGCTCAAACCCCAAATAGAGGGAATCTCAGCTTCTCTGAGGTTCCTAGATCCAAATGACAAAGCTGGGAGACACACAAGGGAAACGTCAGACTGTTTCTTATTAAGCCTCGAAATTGTACTTTGAGAGAATAACCAGACTAATACTCAAAATCATAAATGATGATTCCCCATGCTCCCGAGAATTAAATTATTCCAAAAGTTAAAGTAACTGCTTACCTGTGACGTGAAAATAATTTTCCACATTGAGCAACTTAAGAGCTCTATTGCAGCTCCTTCCTCTTATCTTATTGTGAGGCTGTGTCCATTTATCTCAGCTCTAAGTTTGGTGGGCACTAGTACAAGACATCACCTTGCATGGGGAATCACTCAGCCTTTCTAAAGTAATGCAGGAGTTCACTGCTCATGAGCCATATCCTATGAGATGGCAGAGGTAAGCATTATAGTGCGCTGGGTTTTGGGTTTCATAAAGCAAAACCAGTAGGGCTTGCTCCCACCTACCACGAACCCGCAGGTGACAGCGCATCAGTCTGCAGAGCCCCTAGTGCAGGCGTGTCAACAGGAGCAGCCAGCTCTAGGGCAGAACATCAGTCAAACTCTATCACAGCCAGAAGTAAAGCTGCTTCAGTACTGAGACCACTAAGCACACACACGTACATGCAGGTAAGTTAGGAATGTGAGTAACACACAACACAAATGATCAAATTAAATACAAAGAAAAAAGAAGGCAAACAATCAGGAGGGACCAAGAATGAAGAACATGAAAATAATTACCCTTATATTATGCATCTGCTAACAAGGATTTTGCCTCCTGAAGTCCCTGACTAAGAAGCAATTTGGATGTTGCCAGAGCCAGGCTAAACACAAAAGCAGCAGGAAGCCAGCCTAGCCCTCCACAGTGAGCGTTTGCCCATTGCTCAGGTACAGGAGAGCTGTCTGACTGCAGAGCAGGGAAGATCTTTCCAGGGAAACTAACATACACAGGAGGCTGGTCTGTAATTCCTTGCACCAATGGAAACTTTCCAAAATGCAGAGGCCATCATTGTACTGATTAAATATTGGAGTCATCTCTAAGCAAACATTCACACAGTTAATTACAGTCTAAGACAACAGACGCTTGGCCCATTGCATGTTAATGCAGATGTTTGTCTTTGTGACACTGCTAAAACACACACCTTACGTAAAGAAATAAAGCACTGTGCTGAGGTGCTGGCACAGGGTGCCCAGAGAAGCTGTGGCTGCCCCATCCCTGGCAGTGTTCAAGGCCAGGTTGGACACAGGGGCTTGGAGCAAGCTGCTCCAGTGGAAAGTCTCCCTGCCCGTGGCAGGGGTTGGAGCTGGAGGAGCTTTAAGGTCCCTTCCAACACAAACCAGGCTGGGATTCTATGATACTAGCAAATATTTATTACAGCCAACCCAGTGTATGGAATTTACAAAAGAGTTTATTGCCAAAACAGAAAAATAAATTAAAACTGTTGCTGTGATTACAGCATTTGCTCTGAATGGTTGTCCATGAAAACATCAAGTGGTTTTAGAAGCCAGCGCTGCAATTAGAAGCTTTTGAGAGACCTTCAGCTCTGGGCAGTTCCAGCAACACGGTGTCTGCTAATGTCACCCAGGGGCAGCACACAGAGACAGTATCAGCCTCTTGACAAAACCAGCCCCCCACCCATGGAAGGGAAAAGGAAAAAGACAAGGAAAAGACCTACGGGAGTTTCAGGGTGGTGGGAGCTTTTTCTGCACTTATCTGCTTTTCTACATGACCAGGTGCTGCAGCTCACTCAGGAAAATAAAAGGTTTCACAGAGCACCACCAGAAACTCCATTTTGAAGCTGCTTTTTTTCAGCAAGCAAAGGAAACCTGGGATCCCGAGCAGGATCTTGTAAATGCTGGGGCATGGGCTTGAGCTGTCATTGCAGTTATGATGTTGTCCTTACCTCCTGACACGATTCAATAAACTCATCTAAAGTTACAACACCATCTTTGTTTTTATCCATTTTCTGCAAAATAAAAGAAAATAAATAATTGTTTCCATAGCTAGCACTGCAGTTATAGTACAAAATCTGACTTGATGCAGCCTGGTTAAACCCGAGGCACTTTATGAGCCTAGGTTACGGACTCTGTCATTGATTTAATTTGCCAAACACTAAGGACTTGTTTACTCTGGCAGTTGGAGCACTTTTGAGGTCTCCAACTATTCCTTCATTGACATACACAGCAACCTCTGCCATTACTATGCCATTTATTTACTCACTGCCTCAACAAACAGCACCCATAGTCCTGTCTCACTTTATGGGCAGTTGAGAGAAGTACAGAAGTGCTGCAACACATGCACGGCCTTCAGACATGCTGGATATGACACATCCCAAAGCAAAGGGTTGGGCTAAGAGACACATGAGATGCCTATGGAGCCAGGAAATCAGCAGACACTGTAGTGTCAGGCTGAATGGATGCTAGTGTTTATTTCTGAATATATAGGGGCCTAGGATTGAACTTGGGGCTAACTTTATTGTAGTGCATGGTTCAAACGTTAAGAAAAACACATCAAAAATCAAGTACCTGGAAGAATACTTCTACATGCTGCCTTGGTGCATCTTCCTTGAGCACTGGGTAGGTGTACTTTCCCATCATATCATAAATTGCCTTTACAATATCTGTCATTTCCTGCAGTAGTGTCATGCCAGCAACAACACAAAAGGAAAGATAATAGAAATGATAGCATATTTTTACTTTTTACTGCTCTTTTCTCCACCTTCCTGCTCCTGTTACAAACCAGCACAGAGAATGCCTGTACATGGGCATGAAGACAGACGTATCATCGTATACAAGTTCAGCTATAAAGAAGTGCTTCTTTCTGGCGGTGCCACGACTTGGCCACGGCCTTGCTGGAGGCTCCTGCAAGCATGGGCACACAAGCCCATGACCAGTGGCAGTAACTGCAGACCCTGCAGGTACACACACCAGTCTGACGAGACAGACCAACGTGTGTTTGCAAAATATCTGAGGTTACCGTGCTCAAACCCACGGCCCCACGCAGGGAACAAGCAATACCAGGGGAGAAGATAACACCACGTGACAACACAGGGTTTGGGGGTGGTGTGACTGCATCCAGTTCTTCAACAGTATCTCCTAGGGCAACCATGAAACCTTTGTGCCTCAGTCACCAATAGCTACTGTCACCAGGTAGCCAGAAGTTATATTTTGCTCCTGTCTAAAGCAATCTGTTAAAGCCACTATAATATAGTAAAATGTCTACAAAATCATGCGTTATAAGATCACTGTGCGCTTAACTTGGACATAGATAAATGCTCAAATCCAGTCTGGTTTGCATTTAAACTAGCTGCATGTAAAATTAATTGTTCTCTGCAACAGAAACCAGTTGTTCCTCTTCAGCAGTCACCCTTGGTTGTCAGGAACAGCCTTACCTCCTTGTTTATGTAGCCATCCTTATTTATGTCGTACAGGTTAAATGTCCATCTTAGCTTTTCATGAGCAGTTCCCCGTAACAGAATGGACAATGCCATCACAAAATCCTGTTCGAGGCAGAGAGAGGTGTGAATGTCAAGAATATCTTTTTCTAGGTCACCTTCTTTATATAATGCCAGTCAAAAGACATATTTTCAGATATAGGTTATGGCTTTCAATCTCTTCTAACCCCCTTTCCCCAAAATGTGCCATCTCTGACTGAAATCAGTGGACATATCGCCCAGTAAGATACCCCAAGTACTGTCACACTACTAAATGAGTATGCGGTAACCATTCAAACCAGTAAAGCAAAGTACTCAACTGCAGCCAATGTAAAAGCCAAGCTTATGATATGGGTTAGGCAGCTTAGCAAGGCTGGAAGGGCAGGAAGACAGAATGGGTGCTGCAGCCTTAAGCTCTCCTAGTCCTGAAGAGAGGGTGTTGAAAACAGAAGGGGGGGGGGTAAGAACAGTTCCAGTCCAAGGCAGGTGGACTTAGAGTCTAATGTTGAAGACAGGGGCTGCTCCAGCTCCTCAGACACAGTGTGCTCCATCCACACTGATCATGCCCTAAACACTGCATGGATGTAAGCGTGGCAAAATATGTGTGGGGCTTTTTTAAGGGTAGTGCCCTCTGCTCCAGTGGCCATTTCCCTGCTGCAAGGAGTCATCACTCTGATTGCCGCTGCCTGGTTAAACACAGCTGGACCCTGACTGAGGAAGTAGAAGCCGTTGCTTTCTTACCTCCAGATCTAGGGTGCTGGTGAAGAAAGGAAGAAAACCCATGATTTTTTAACATGCCCATCTTGAGAGAGGTGGAGAGAACCCAAACTCCTCTAACACAGGGAGCCACAGGTTTTGTTCTCTGGCAAAATCTCTCAGACATGACCAGATACAATTCCCACCACTTGACTCAGGCTGGGACACAGCATTTGAATTGTAGTTTCTTGTTTACAGCAAAGTTATTGCTTCCAAGAACTTTGATTTACTGTTCATACTGCATGGCAGCTCAGGCACTGCAAGCAGCATTGCTAGGGGGATTTGTTGGCACAGGCAGAGCTTCAAGCTAACAGAGCTTTACAGTTCCTGATACCTCATTTAATGCACTGGATCTGCCTATGTTCTCTCCATTAGCATGAGGCAGTGCATCACTCAGAAACCTTTGCTCCTTTTTACCAAGGCTCAAATTTGCTGAACAGTACAAAAAGTACAAACATGCTGATGCCTGACAACCACTAAAGAGGCAGGTTTGCCAGGAAGGAAAGCTCAGCAAGCTTTTTAAATACTTATCTAAGCATTTTCCCGTGTCTCAGTCTGTTCAGGTTTCTGGAAGATTCTAACTACTGAGTAGCTGCCATATGCAAAACTCCCACTGCAGCCATCTCTACAGAGACCCACATATACATATGATAACATTCCCATTTCACATTTGACAAATGAACAGAGTTCCCAGTGTTACCTGGAAATGACCAGAGTTCTTGGCCATTTGGCAGCAAAGGCAAGACTGCCTGTGATTGCTGGTTTTATAATCACAGTAAACTCGCTTTCTATGAAATCTATGAAATCTATGAAATCTATGAATCTATGAATCTATGAAATTCATCCTTTACAGGTCTGTGGCTTTGCTGCGCTCCTACAACTGTGTGTGTGAGCTTGAAGTACAGCTGTTTGTAGTCACAGCAACAGGCCTTTTAGTTAAAGGTTTATAGCTTCCATTTGGTACCAAGTATCTGAAAGGCTTGTTCAATATATCAAATAACCTTAAAACAACCCGTATTCCAGGAATATACAAATATGACAGTTCAGACATGCAATGTGTGATGACTGCACAAGATACAAGATGTACTGGCTTTTCTTTGGTATCCAAATTCTCTGTGCAACTCCATTTGCATAGAGTAAAGTGAACCAGAATTTAAAATATCAACTGATTTTAGACTGAAACCTCTCCTGCATAATCCAATGACTCCTACTAGTTTACAATGAAGAATGGATGGAAAAGCTTAAAAATACAAAATGGAGAAAGGGGCATAAAAGGAGTATGCAAAACAATTACCTCAAACTTCACTGAGCCATTTTGTGCAGTGTCAAAAGCATTAAAGAGATAATGTGCATACATGCTAGCATCTGAAAAACACAAAGGGCACTCGTTGGTACAACAGTTCACTGTAACACATTATAAGGGGTCTAAACAACATTCCTTTTGCATAAAAACCAACCTTGTAGCAATGCCAGATATCCTATCAACCAGTAAATGTTAGCATGGACTTCCATAATCCCCATGCCCTACCTTAAGACAGCCTTGAAATGTAAGAGCGTTTATGACAGTAGAAACAATCTGGATTATGGGGCTGGACCTGAAATAATGAGTTAAAAAACCAAACCAAACCATCCAAGAATATCTCTGTGGCAAATGGAGCGGCAGCACTGGTCAGAAGTACAGCAGAAGTATCAAAGAGTGATTCCAGCGTGTGTGCTGCCTTCCTCTGCCTTCCTGCTTTGTGTAGAGAAGATCCCCAGGGACTGTCCAACTTCGGAAGGGTCTAGTTCCACTACCTTGAGTTTGGACCATGAGTAACAAAAAGCAATCTTATCTGAGGTATAGTTTTGTCTTTTTGAATATTAAACTGCTGATTTTAGGGAGTCCTTTCTATTACGAAGAACAGTTTCTATGTCCACGTGAAGGATGGCTGTTAAAGGGGAAAAATCAGTAATGGGAGGCAGAAAAGAATCAAAGAGGTGTGTGAGTGTAAGACCTTCCTTGGCCTGTTCTCTGCTCTGGAGGCAATTCACACTGATCTCCTTAGTATTAGAGCCCAACTACTCAAGATGGAAGCAACTGACATTAAATGCCCTTGACGATTTCATTGCCATTCTAGGTGCCACACATTTTTTGCCTCTTCTATTCTTTGCTTCTAGCACACAGCATTATTCAAGCCTGAGTCTCCCTATTCAGTGTATGGGCATTGAGGTGAAGCCTGGTGCCCTGTGCTAGGTGGGCAGGCAGGCAATATTACTTAGCATGTCCTTATTCTGATCTCTGTGAAATGATCAAGTAGTTTTACATTATTCAAATCCAGGAAAGTGTAACAGTAGGCAGAAAAATCAAATACTTCAGTTACTGTCACCTGTAAGGACAGAATACGCTGCCCTGCAAAGAATACTCTCCTACATTTTTTGGATTCTGAAATAACACCTTCAGAATTAAAACACTTACGGGACAGTCCTAAAAGCTCCCATTAAGCTAAACAGTGACCTAAAAACATTAAACTAGGTGCTTATTTTCAACAGGGTATAATATAATACTAAATTCCTAATATTACTTGATGCCTGGTTAGCAAAAATGAAAACCTGTCAAGGATAGGAGCCCTATGTAACAAATCCATCACAAGCCTGGGAAGAGGCTGCACAACGTTTTTATAACCCAGAGATGCTTTACTCCCTCTGGGATGTACAAGTTTACCAGCACAGAGCCCTACAGAGAGCCACAGTGAAAGGATCTCTGAGGCATCTGAACTCTCACAATTTATGACACTAAAGTTACACAGTTTGGAAACCAAGTGAAAGAAAACAGTTCAAAATACGAAATGGCCTGCTGCCAAACTGACATATTGTTAAGCAGGATTGAACTACCATCATCATTAAGGGAGGGTCAGAGCCCAAGGGAATGGAACACCAGAAAAGGGGTGAGGGTCTGTCAGGCTCAGGAGAGGTGGGAAAAGTTGTCTGTCCATGAAAAGATGAAGTATCTGTGCCTGCCTGTTTTTCACACACAGGAAGGCAGAAGTCAGCCGAGGTGTGTCACAAAGGAGGCAGTACAGTTACTTGGGGCAAACTGAAAACACAAAATATATGTATAAATACATTCAGACCATACTGAAATTTAATGTAAACTTTTCATAGGTGTGCATCTTTGAGGCCATACATTTTGAAGCATAGATATAACATGGTTTGTCTTGAAACGTAGTTGAAAAAACACTTGTTAATGGCTTTCTGAAGGTACACGCACGTGCACACATAGGCTTTTGTAGAAACTTCAGCCATTATTCCACAATGAGTGCATTCTGCAGCTACTATAGAGTGGAATACAGAATCATAGGATCATTGAGACTGGTAAAGTCCTTTAAGATCATCAAGTCCAACCATTAACCCAGCACTCCCAAGCCCACCACTAATCCATGTCCCTCAGTGCTACACTTACACGTCTTTTAAACACCTCCAGGGATGGTGACTGCACCACTGCCCTGTGCAGCCTGTTCAGTGCCTGACAGCCCTTCTGGTAAACGTGTTTTTCCCAATACCCAGTCTAAACCTCCCCTGGTGCAGCTTGAGGCCATTTCCTCTTGTCCTATTGCTTGTTTCTTGGGAGAAGAGACCAATCCCACCTTACTACAACCTCCTGTCAGGCAGTTGCAGAGAGTGATAAGGTCCCCCCTGAGCTTCTTTTTCTCCAGGCAAAACATGTATTTGGAAAAGCCTCAAATACTGAATCTTTTACTGAAAAGCCACTTAAACCCATGCCTCATTTCTTTCAGTTTGAGACCAGCATCCCCACAGAACACATTCAGTTAGAACAACATAGAGATTATTGATGTCTTTCAAAGGTAAGAATATGTTGAGAGGTTTAATACAACACTTTGATATTCCGGTACATTCCATCACCCTGTTCTTAGTCACACAAACACTAAAGTGATCATTTCAGGTAGCTAGAAGTTCACACATCAACTAGGAACTGCTTTAAGAATTTTGGGAAGGTTTTGATTCATTTGCAGGCCAAAAGGAGGGCTGGGATTCTCCTGTGCTAGATACTACATGCACAGCAATCCACAGCACACACAGAGGGGAAGTGATTTAGCTTTCTGCCGTCTAGAAAGTCAGTACAAAACACCCCATCAATCCCGTTTCCATCTGGGACTCGGGGAACAAAGAGCTGACAACTAGGGGCAATCTTTAATGTGGATTTGTCCATTCCTGTGAAATAACTGTTCAACTGCACTAAGTAATTTTATGACCTTGATGTTTGTGCTTCTGTTTAGGATCCTGCAAAGGTGAAGCTCAATCCACATTTCTTACACAGATTACCTGAAGGAGTTTTGCAGCCAGCTGGCAGTAATGAATGTTAAGGCATGCTTCAAGAAACCTGCCAGATGCAAAGTACTCTGCTTACCTCCATGAGGAAAAAACTGTGCATAGATCTGTTTAAATGCCTCTTCATTAACAACCCCACTAGGACATTCCTGTTGGAAAAACAAAAAGAAGAACAAATATCAAGCAAAAAAACCAACCCCAACACTGTAAAGGTTCATTTGCAAAACTCTGCAAGCCCAAAGAGAGCAATTAGACAAACAACACTGCTGTTCTCCCAGGGCTCTGGGCATGCAGGCTGTGCAGCTGGAGACATTAAAATCATTCCGAGTGCAGCTTCATCTCATGCTCTTGTTTCACCATTATTAACATTTCTTAGCAGTATTTTCGGCAGTGTTTAATTGCTGCTTTATAGGACAACCAGGAAAGGCACCTCATGCCTTCCGTCAGGTGAAACTTCCATCATATAATTACAGATAATGTTAGTGCCAGCTAACAGTGCATGGTCTGATACCTCCACCTATATGAATTCATTAATCATAGAATCATAGAATGGTTTGGGTTGGAAAGGACCTCAAGATCGTCCAGTTCCGACCTCACCCTAGATCATGTTGCCCAAGGCTCTGTCCAACCTCAATGATTGTCAGTCGTCAGTGGAAGACTGTATCCAGAAATGTGACACCAGCTCCATGGAGGCTAATGGTATGGACTATACTGGTAAGTCCATATGAAGAAGCATCAGTATTAGGCTGATAAACATTAGACCATTCTTAACCTGTTTATCCACTCAGTCTTCCATAAACTTCTGAGAAGCCAGACTGTGCCCACGCACATTTTGTAACCTGTGGGGTTATTTGGCTTTTAAGTTCTGGCACTGGAATGTAGAGCACTGCATTTCACTTCTGGCTGCTTCAAATGAGGGCAAACTCTTAAGAAAAGGGGGGCAGATTTTCTGTCCTGAACTTCCTGACCTACTAAGTAAGTAGCCCCATGGGGAAGGGAAAAGGGGATTGATGTCCGGAGGGCTCACACTTGCTCTACCTTCAGCCAAGCAAAATCCAGGTTGTTACCTCGTTACCTCTGTTCAGACTGAGACGTTGGGGTAGCACAAATAAGCTTGGGGATGAACACAAATGAGTTTGAGAGAGCACAGTGCTGCTCAGCCCCTATATTACATCTATAATGCCAATGGTAGCATTACAGGTTGTTGAATCTGAGATGAGTAAACTTAGGAAGTCTAAGAAAATCCCTTTGAATTTTTGACATAAAAAGCTGGAGGATGATTCAAGTCTATGACTTATTTATTGATGAGTTCTTTAGATACCTTTTAAGAACAAAAAGGACTTTGATAAGAAATTCTTCAACTATGAAAAGCCTATAAAGGAAAAGCAGCATTTTTCCAGCCTCTGATCTGCCAGTATCACCTGCTGCTGTGCATTCCAACCATGGAAAAGGACAGAACAAACAAGTGAAATCACTTTATACTGTGCACGTCAAGGAAGGAGAGCAAGGAGGGGTACTTCAGGTGACAATGAGGCAGTTCCTTAATCACATACCTGTTTGCTATTGAATTAGGGTGATTAGGTTGGAGTTCCTTGCTCCACTGCAGAAATCCTGTGGTATCCTACCCACTATGTAGGTAAAATCCATCAGTGATTTGAGAAGATTTGAGCTAAATAAAAGATAATTTGTTGCTTGAAAATCCCTGAAATGATCTTTTTCTCTGCATCTGCATGTCCTGACAAGTGCCCTCCCACTGGTTATGTTGAAGTGTTCCAAAGCTGGCACTGTAGCCTTCACCTGGCTGGGGCCATCCCTTCTCCAGCAGCACTGCTCAAGGCCTGTTTCAGAGCAAGGGGATAAAAGGACCAATTGGATTAGCTACAGAGGGGGCTGCAAGGGCTGAGCCTTGTGTTTTCATTTACAGACAAAGCTGACAAAAATTCCTGTTTAGATGAATATCCTCAAAATATGCCACAGCTCCTACTAAAGCAGCCAGTGCCTGTTGTCTTTGTCACGAGAAAAGTGGTTACTGCTCCGTCTGCCTGTGCCACATCTAATGAGCTACGAATCATTAAAAGGAGAAGAATTAATGGAATATAACAGCTAAAATAAAAATGTTCTTCTGAAGTTCACATTTCTTAAAGCTTGTAATTTAATGTAAATGAAATAATCACCTATTTATTTGTGGTAGCTGGTAACCATCAGTCAGACCACCTACCTGGTAACTGGAGTGCTGCTGTTCCACGACTCACACTGGGCCTTTGCACAACTGTAGAGTATTTGACCAAATTGTCATTCTTTTTAAAATGAAGCCTAGCACAGCACTTAACCTTCCTTTCCATCGTAGTGCTACTGGCCCGAGTAGTGCTGCCCCAAGTGAAGATGCAGTTCTTTCTCTATTCTTGATAAATACAACTAATATATTCACTAAGAAGCATCGTTTTGCATGCTTAAGGCTAGTGTACACATGTTTGGGCTCATTCTTTTCTATATACTTTCCACAGTTGTAGAGTCCATTGGGCCTCTTCCACACTATATTAAAGCCTGTGTTTGCCAAGAGCCCCAGTCCAGCACCATCCACCCTGAGGATGAAGCTGAAGCCTGTGAAGGGCAGGTTGGTGCTGCACACGCTGCCCTTGCAGAGGCAGGGTTTTCTGTGGCAGTTTCAGCCATTATGCATCATTGAACTCTCTCAATTTCCACACGATCCTTTTGCTTCTGATGCTCCATCTGGAAGCCAAATGAAACGTTTGCAGCAAGCCTCCAGGAGTGCTGGGCAGAGGCAGCGCGGACATTGATCAGCCTGCTTAGCTCAGTGTAACTGGATTGCTTTCAGACACATATGCCTGTTCCAATTCATTTGCACTTAATTGATCACAATTTTGCTTTTCTAAGAGCCAAATAATGCTCAAGTGGCCTCATTAGTGCTCCAGTACTACTGAATTCAGCTGACTCGCAAGAAATCTGTTAGGAAAGGAGCAGGTAAGCTGAGCGTCAGTTTGAGTTCCACTGATGCTGACAAAGCCTTACTCATTCACGAAAACGTTCTTGGCAGTATGGAAAAGCACAGTGCCTCACCATAACAGTCTGCCTCCAGTGGCAGGGAATTAGATTCAGGCAAACACCTTGCATTGCTATAACCTACGAACTACCTACCTTAAAACAAGAACAGTGTTCCACAGTTTTGGGATTGCTAAGCACGGAACCAACCCCTCATCTTCAACAAACACTGGCACTGGCAGCATGAGTCATGCCTTTGAATCTACCCTCTCGGAACTCTTAACTCTTTTCAAACAGGAAACCACAAAGGAGCTGAATCCACGTTAAAAATAGAACCCCCCAGCACAAAACAACCCAAAAAGGAAATCAAAGAGAAGGTCACTTGCTGTTCTTTCTCCTGCTGGAATCAGAAATGAGCTTCATCAATTGCTTCCAAAGATGAGCAACGTGCACAAGCAGGGATCAGCAGCAAAACTGAAATGGGGCTGAACATAACCTGCTCACCTGGCTGCTCTCACCAGAACAAAGAGGAGCACCCAGGGGACTGATCTCCTCCCTCTTGTTCCATAACTGTTCCCTAAACTTTACTCCTGTGGGAAGCAGAAACTTCCTTCTCCTGCCAGCCTATGCCTGGTCATGTCCATTTTGTTCCTGTGCCAATACTGCCTTTTAGCTCAAACGGTGCTCTCTCCTGATGTATTTATAGACAGCAGGTAACACATTCTATTTTGTTGAGCTAAACCAAGGCAAGATCCACCAAAGGTTGTGCTGGGTTTTGCTGTCTCTGTTGCTTTGCTTGTGCAGAACCACAGCCAAAGAAATGAGTCCAAACACCTTAACCTGGCTCCAGTATGACAGCAGCTATCTGCAAGGTGCGAAACAGACTATTGCACAAATTGCACCCTGGGGGCAGAGATAACTGCAAAGATAAACAGGAACTTTTGGTCCTGGTATCAAGAGATGTTGGAGGACATCTCACAACGTTCCCTTTCACAACTGGAAAAGAAAGCTGATAGCAAAGAGAGAGGGAACACTTCCCTCTTGTCCAGGCAGCAAGCACACCAGCTTGAAGTGGGAAAGGATTTGTATTCAGTGGAAGTCACCATCAATATGGTGCAGAAACACCAGATCTGACCAGTGACACACTGGGAAGAGACTGGGAAGATTTTGAGGGCATAGGGAAACAGATTTGAGAGATGAAGTAAGAACAGGAATTAAAGCACTGAGAATTAGTGCCTAGAGGGTGCCCCAGGCTGTGCTGAACTGCCTTTGGTCAAACACCATCAAATCTATGTTCATGAGCATCAAACCTTCAACTCCTGTGACTGCAGCAGGGCTGAGCAGGGCCACATTCTCCCCTGTGCCTGTAAATGGCTCTGGGATTATCCAGGTGTTGCCTCATGATTAAACAGGACCTGTGCAGTCACCATGAGCAAGCCAGAGAAAAGAAAATGACTGTATTCCCACAGGGATCTTGAATCTCCAGATGGCACTGTAACATCATCCCAAAAAGCAGATGGTTTGGTACAACAGCTGAGTCAGTTTGCCTGCTGTAAATAATTACTCACCCCATTGAAACCATAATTTACATGCTACAAATGCTAAAGCTACCCTTTCATGTCAATTTAAACCTTAGATATTAAAGCTTCATGCATATCATGTAGTAGCAGCTGGAGAAAACCAGACTGTTTGTCCTAGCAACCCAATATAAAACATCATCTTGTCAGCACTGCCTATTAATACCAAGACCTTCAGTGAGGTTTAGGAAAGGGGTTAGGTCATAAGTTAAATGCACTTGTCTATCACTCTTGCCCTGGGAGGTAATGCCTCTATACTGCAAAGTGATAGCAGAACTGAGAGGGGCAAGGGGTAAATATCATGGGTACTGAGAGCTGCAGAGCCAGCTCCTCCTGCCAGCACGGAGCACAGCAATCCAGCACGGGTCTCCCACCAAACAGCAGTACGGGAGGCACTTTGGAGATCTTAGCTAAACACAGCAGTTCAGAGCTCTCACTGCAGGCAGCTGTGTCACATCAGATGTCTGTTAGCCTGTCAAGCTGTCTCAAAAGCCAAATGATTTCTCGCTGACTGCCCAAAGCATGAAGACGTTTCAGGTATCGGTCTACAGTGGCTACAAAACTTCACACGCGGAATGAGCTCCTACGTGCAGCAAAGGCTGTACAAATACAAGACATGCACCAAAAAGAGAAGTACAGAAAGCTGAGCTGTGCCTTGTCCTGCTCAGGTGAGCGGTGAAATAAAGGCTGAAACCACCGGACTCCTCAAACTTATTTTGGTGATGTGATTCAAGGTAACTCCAAGAGCCTGTCAGAGAGAAAGGTCCCTCTCAATATCCAGCAGGTTTCTCTCAACACTTGCAGCTCAGCTTTCTTTTGGGAAGCTTTTACCCAATGGATTTGTTTTTCTGAGAGAAACGACAGGATTTCACTGGGGCAGCAGCTGAAATGCTGGAGCTGTCCTGCAAGACGACTGAAACCCACCCCGTGTTTATTGAGCTTAATACCGATCTATTCATCATCATAAAAACATCACCTGGCACGAACCACCTGGGTGACTAAACCCAGACCCGCAGGCAACCATGTAATGAGTATTCATTCTTCAAGGGGCATAAAGCATCTGCTCCACGTAGCCTCAAAATTCCCTGTTTCTATTTATTATGACAAGTCCCTAAGAGGCAGCAGCAGGTGAGCTGGAAGCTGAGGCTCAGGGAGCTCCAGCCTCCCCGCTACCAGGGAGGATATGGCTGGTGGTTGACAAAGGCGAGGGCAGCGCTGCTCTGCCTACACAGACATGCCAGCTGGCATGGCTCCTGCTCTCACCTCAGTCTGTAGCCTCTTTCTTGTCTCCTCGGTCTTGATACCTTTTTACTTTTGATTTCTTTTTGGCTCCTGCCACTTCAGCTTAATCTGTTTGCACAGGAACTTATAGTCCTAGTGTGCTCTATTACATCATGCTGAAAGAGCAAGATTTCTGTAGCCAGAGAAAGGACACAAGCTAATCGCAAGCAAGCAGTACTGCTCATATTTGAACATGAGGAACTGACAGCAAGAATTAAATAAGTACCTATAAAACATTTTCAGGTTATCTTGAAGTAGTGGCACAGTTGGGGAAATTGCAGTGTGCTTCCTGACATTTGGGCAACAAATTGAAGGAGAATATTATATGCTGAGTATTCATCCAAACCCAGTTTTAGGCAGATTATGGTGTCATAAATATTAGATGAAGTGGCAGATTGTGCTCGTTTTGCTGTGGTAGGGGACATCTAGCACAAAACCGCAAACGTTTCGCAGGGGAACGGCACATAATGCAGCTGAGCAGGGGAGGCTGGGGGGAACATACATACTGGACTCGGTTCACTGCAGGATCATTCTTACATTTTTAAATCCTCTGTAAAGCACTTGAAGTTCTCTTTTAGTGAAGTTGGTTTGTGCTTCAAGCTGTTCCAGTCCTTCAGGTCTATGGCACACTGTAGTCATTTCTAATTCATCTTCAATTTTATCTGGAAGAGAAGACAGGAAAATATTTAGTTTGGTTGTTACCTTTGCTCTATTAACATGATGGATAGGACAGCCTGGAGTTCAAGAGCAACAGAGAGAAAAAGAAACCATCAACAGAACAGATCTCTATAACTGTTTTCAATCTCTTGAAAGCAAAATAAAAGTCGTACGAGTAAAGCAAAAGTTCACATTTTACAGGGCTGCCAATTGGCTCCCCATCTACAAAGCCAAAACTGGTGGTGAGAACAGAAGGGCAGGCAGCAGATATGTTGCTCCAAAAGGCAACGCCAGGTATTTCTTATCTAAATATTGAAACAACGTGGAAGAATAGGCCTTTCAAAGTACCAGCTTTGAAAAAGCTGTGCAAATACAAGTGAGAGAGCAGACGTGCTTAAGCATATTAGGCAACGGCATTATACTGAGGGTAAACAGTGAGGGAAGCTCTTCTGTTAACCAAAAAGCTTGCTATAGAGACACTAAAGGTCACCTTAATCCTAGGAGAGATTCAGACAATGTCCACAGTTGCTGAGTCTGGGATGAAACCAGCCTGCATTTGCGTGGATTTTTGGGGGAAGCAGATAAGAAATGAAAGATTCTGATACGCATTTTATTCAAGTGGGTATCCTCACAAGGAAGAAAGATACCGACCTCCTGTATTGCTGTAATCTCACCTCTATTCTGATGCATGCTTTTACTTGTCAAGCCCATTTCCCCAGAAGTGTAGGCAATGCCCAAATATACACAGATGCTTAATGTGTGTCGTTTTGAGATTCTCTAAGCTTCGAGGATCAGATGCAGTTTTCAGGTGACATGAAAATCCCATCTACATCCAAAAGTGGCCTGGCATAAACCCCAACACCCCCCTTGTTATCAAACCAGCACAATTTATGCCCTGAAGAAGTGTTTTAGATTATTGGGCTCAAGATACTACAGTAATTCCTGCTGAAAGACACGGATTTCACAAGAAACATGGAAGGAAATGGAGTCACTCTGAATGGGGGAAATGCATGAATTCAGAGCAGACTGGCTCAGTGAAAGAACAGGCCAGACTAAAGCTCCATTTTCATAAGTGAATTCTGTACATATATACGAATGTTATTAACGAAGGACACACATCACTGAGTGACAAAGGTTAATTCACATCAGTTCACACTTCCAGTATTAAGAGATCAGTTTGAAATCATGGTGTATTCAGGCATCCTCCTAATCCACTGTGTCTGGAGCTTCACAGTCTGTGTTTGTGGGGCTTGAGCTGTGAAAATACATGCCTAAATACAGTGCTCAATGTCGCTTGCAAGGCAAGGAGACCAAGGAAAGAGGCTGTAACAGCATGGGGTAGAAGGGGAGTATCACAACCAGTTATGATGCAGAAAGCTTCCTGAGGTGGTAGGTGGCCAGAAGAGGCCTGAAGGAGCCACCTTCTCCTCACAAAGGGAAACTGAGAGTCTAGAGATTACAGCTCCTGTTAAAAAAAAAGAGATGGAAAAGGATGTCTGCTACAGGAAGAACAGATGTGGAATGGGAAATAAGGGGGGAAAGCCATTTTCTTTGAAGCACAACACATGCCACAAAATTAAGGAATGCAGAAGAAACTATATAGAGAGAAAAAAATGGGGAAGAAATTCCTTGAAATGAGGGAAGTGCAATGAGTGGCTGAAAAAAGGAGAGGAAATACATTTATAAGGGAGCCAGGTTACGGAGACTCAGAACTAATCCATACATTATATAGCAAATACTTCTTTTTTTACCTTTGGTTAACTGCAATTTACCTCAAAGCCTTTACAAAATGCAAGTAACACCTGACTCCTCTCTTGCATGTTCCTGCTGTTCCCAATGCAATAAGCAGTTTACAAATGGCCTTGACGGTCACCTTGGTTTTCCCCGGCGAGCCATGCATTTTGTACTGTGCAGTATGTAAGCAAGTTGCCTCCGAGCCTCTCTCTGCTCTTTAACCAGTTAAACACACCCAGCTTTTCACTGACATTTCCTACTGAGTCACTCGAGTTCTTTACAACTTCAGTCAATGGAAAAATCTAAGAGTAAAATACTGGCCATCTACTCTTTATATCCTATAATTCAATGGGGAGGGGAAACCCAACAATCTATGCACTCTCAGGTAAGTGGTGAGGGTAATGGGGGAAGCCAGCCTGTTGGAATACTCTTAGGCTTGGTTTTATTTACCCTTACAGCATGGAGTTTCACATGGTTTGTACAGAGGCAGGAAAGATCCAGCTGAGAAAAGTCACACTCTTTGCAAAAGCATTTTGATGTAACCGACTGGTTTTGGTGGGTCTTTAATTTCCCATATACTTTCCTCACCTCCTTAAGCAACCAGTGTTAGTACCCCTATATCCAACCTGAACTTCCCTTGTTTTAAGTTTGAACATTACCCCTTGTCCTATTGCTTGTCCTGCAAGGATATGTTTCCGCAACACTCAGTTCACAAGCTTTGGTCCCACAGGGCAGATATTCCTATGTTAAAAACAAGCCAGATGACTGCTGTAGATTTGATTCTATTTCCCATGCTGAGAAATGCGGCTCTTTTCTTTATAACAAACTGTAGAAAGGAAAGGATGAAAAATCCATCCCTTTTCAAAGGGATGCTCCAGTTTTTCCTTCCATTTCCCCATTCCAGAACCAGCATTAATCTCTGCCTCTGAAGAGAATCTGATGGTCCCCCATGGGTGAATCCTTTCATCTGCTTCCTCCTCCTTTCTCAAGGGAAGTATTTTGAAACTTAGCAATAAAAGGTGTGTGAAGCTTTAGCTCTGGCCCAGGGGACACTCAAAATGACACCACAGCAACAGGCTTCCAGGGGGCACATCCTAAAAATGGCAGAAGCTTTTCCTTCGATGGAACATGCCCGGATACAACGGAGCAGACCTGGGCATTTTCTGGAGCACCACCTCAGAAAACAAGTACAAGAAAGGCTTATTAGGTCATTTTGTCTATCCCTTGCCAACAAAGAGCTGTTTTCCACCGTGTTTCATGATAGTATTGGTCTTACAAGAGAAGACACTTTTCAGGAGTAACTACTTCACATTAATGGGCCTCACAGATCAAACAGTCCCTCCCCTGTGCTCAAAATATACCAACACTTTAACTTTTCTCAGCTGGCAGCCCACATTCAGAGATCCCCCTCCAGCAACACTCTGTTCATCCCTCCTCCCTCCCTGGCAAAAGCCTGCCCTGGGCACAGCACAGACCTGTATGGGCACAAACTGCTCTTCCAAGCAACTCGATCATTTCCAACTCAATAGTCCTCACCTCCCACAAAGATTTCTTTGTCAATATTTGTTTCCTTTCAGTGTTTTCTCTTGACTCAGGTCTTTAAAACCCTTTTCTTCCACTCTCATATACCCTATAAATTAACCACAGTGACAAACCCACAGATCCTGTCACCTCCTCATCTGCTCTTGCCTTTTGTCATGTATATTGTGTTTCCTCTTACTTCCATTGGCTTTGTTGCACTGGCTGGGTCCCTCCCAGCTCTCCAGGGATGTCACTGTGTGAAAGACAAGCCCTTGCATTTGTAAACACTGCAATTGCATTAAACTGAAGCTCACTTCATGGTGCTGAGTGCAAGCAAAAGTGTATGCACATAGATCCACACATTTTTAATTAGGAAAGCATTGTGTGAAGATATTTTGCCCAATATCATATTCTTCCACAGTTTTGCCTTGTCTACGGCTTGCTGAGCACTCTGAGTGGTTTGAGGGTGGGAAATGGGCATGCCACTGGTTTCAAGTTCATTTTCTTCTTCAGTCTGCAAGCTCATGGAAAGCCCGAGGGAATGACACTGCCAGAGATGCCCATGGTGCCCTCCCCAGCTCAGGTGCCATGTGTCAGCAGCTGATGCTTACGGCATCCCTGTGGAGCTGGAACTCAGCTGTGCCCTGCTGGGGGGACACACTCGCCTCAGGGTCTGGGTACCACACACCTGGTTAGTGAGAGCTTGAACACTGGCAAATAGGTCCAAATTTACCATTCTGAACCTGAAAGCATGATTCTGTGCTCCCCAGTTGGGTGGACTCAGATTTCTCCCGCTTGCAGGTACTGATAAATGATAACTTTCTTCTTGGTTTTTTGTTTGTTTTTTAGCTTCAGCACTTGTTGCAATGGTCCCTGGATCAACCCCTTCCGCACCAGACAGTTGCAGTGAGTTGTGTCTTAGAATCATGGAGTCATCGAATGGTTTGTGTTGGAAGGGACCTTAAAGCCCATCCAGTTCCAACCCCTGCCACAGGCAGGGACACCTTCCACTAGAGCAGCTTGCTCCAAGCCCCTGTGTCCAACCTGGCCTTGAACACTGCCAGGGATGGGGCAGCCACAGCTTCTCTGGGCACCCTGTGCCAGCGCCTCAGCACCCTCACAGGGAAGAGCTTCTGCCTAAGAGCTCATCTCAGTCTCCCCTCTGGCAGGTTAAAGCCATTCCCCTTGGCCTGTCCCTACAGGCCCTTGTCCAAAGCCCCTCTCCAGGTTTCCTGCAGCCCCTTTAGGCACTGGAGCTGCTCTAAGGTCTCCCCTTCAGGAGCCTTCTCTTCTCCAGGCTGAACAAGGACTGGTGTAAGATCATCTGTACTGTTCAGCTGGTGCAGAACATGCCTGTGCACTTGCTCAGCTGTTTTTCTTGCAATGTATTTGAAACTGTAAGAACAGAAAGCAGCACTTTCTGATTTAGAATTTGTCTCTGGCCATAGGTTTACGGCTGCTTTAGTAGCAGGATATGAAGTGTGGGTCTGGGAGAAGCAGCTGTGTTAATCCTACTCCAAAATAGGTCCAGGTTGTAATAATGATGTAATTTTGCATGTTTACTGGGGGCAGAACACCATCCCTGTTCGCTTAGCCCATAGGATAGGCACATTTTCTGTATCAGACAAAATAGTGGCTTCACTTTGCAAAGAAAAATACTGCTGACATACTTGCATGTACGTGCATATTTTATAGATTGTTGGTAATGAAAGACACAGTTTCATTTCTCTGCTGCTTGCTCAAGAGCAGA